TTGTGATCTCACAGTCTGTGGGATCGAGTCCTGTGTCCGGCTCCGTGCTGAGCCAGTATGGAGCCTGTTTGGGACTCCTCTCTCTCTCTCTGTCTGCCCTTCTCCCCCACTCAAAATAAAAAAAACTTCTTTTCATGCTCAACAATTATATATCAAAAGTCATAACATATTTATACTGTTTTTATTTATCTGCAGCTGTAATGTGAACTTAATCTGTAAGAATGTTTTTCTACTTAAAGCTTTATGATCACGTGAAATTTTTTTTTTTTTTAATTTTTTTTTCAACGTTTTTATTTATTTTTGGGACAGAGAGAGACAGAGCATGAACAGGGGAGGGGCAGAGAGAGAGGGAGACACAGAATCGGAAACAGGCTCCAGGCTCCGAGCCATCATATGATCACGTGAAATTTAAAAGAATCCAATTTCTATAGACGTTTTTATCTTACATTTCATTTAAGCCTTTATGAAAGACCTTTAAGCATAAAATATATATTGACTAGAACAGAATATTACATGGGGACCGGCAGAACGGAAAAGGAAAATAATGCAAAATTTCTTATCGCTGTAGAAGGGTTTGCCCATGTAATGTTTAAAATGTGATGGTAAAGCATATCTTTATTAGATATACTTTAAATGTCAGCATTTGTAACATACTATGAATTCTTTTCCTTCAAGTATTTAAAATCGTGAAAAAAAGGTTTGGGGCACCTGGGTAGCTCAGTTAGTTAAGCTTCTGACTTGGGCTCCGGTCATGAGCTCGTCATCTGTGGGTTTGAGCCCCACGTCAAGCTCTATGCTGACAGCTCGGAGCCTGGAGCCCACTTCAGATCCTGTGTCTCCTTCTCCTCTCTGTACCTCCCTGCTCGCACTCTGTCTCTCTGTCTCTTTCTCTCTCTCAAAAATAAGTAAACGTGAAAAAACTTTTTTTAATTATGAAGAAAAGTTTTACATGCCAACTTTGAAACATGAGGGCACAGGTAGTTTTAACAAATCCTTTCGGGGCGCCTGGGTGGGTCAGTGAGTTAAGCGTTGGACTCTTGATCTCAGCTCAGGTCATGATCTCATGGTTCGTGAGTTCGAGCCCCACATTGGGCTCCGTGCGAATAGTGGGGATCCCGCCTGGGATCCTCTCTCTCTCCCCCTCTCTCTCCCCTGTTTCTCTTTCTCAAAATAAAACTAAAAAAATAAATACATAAAACTTGAATAAATTTCCCTTCAAAGCGTAGTTGAAGAGTTTGGGAACTGGTGGATTCAGGGTGGGAAAGAGGGCCAGGTGGCCCCCAAACCATTAGCTCCTCCTGAGCGTACAGGAGTGAGTCCGGAGAGCGTAAGTTCAGTCCTTCTAAGCGAGGATCCTCCTGACCGTGCGGACTGGTACCTGCTCCAGGCGTAGCACGGACAGGTAATCGAGTAGCCCATGTGCAGCTTTGTGCATTTATCCAGACTGAAAGCACAAAAACCTAACAACCAAACGAATCTAGGATTCCATTTTTAGAAGGTTCCTTGAAGCAGCGAGAAGCACGCCCGGTTAGCAAGAAGCCCCTGCGGGGTTAGTACTCACATTCGAGCCCCTTCCCAAAGCCGACCGTGACGGGTCCCCATCGCCGTCCAGCCCGCACCGCCCGATCTGCTCCGCCTGGAACACAGACACGCGTCAGGTCATCTCCAGGTCAAAGGTCAAGCAAGCCCAGGTCGAAAGTCATCCTCAGCGATTACTGCAGCCAAAGATACCAGCGTGGTCCTCAAGGCAGCAGACTCTAGATGGGAATCCTGGGCCTCATCCCTCCGCTCAGGAACCCAGAAGCCCCTAACCAAAGTGCTCACTGATCTGAAAACTGGTTGTGAAATCCATGACTCACGGGGAGGCATTTTCTTTTTGCATTTTCCCAAAAGCATATCGTCCACTTGGAAAACTCACAAGAAAACAGTAGTTAGTGCGTCTGGGCCGAATGAGTGGGCTCCGAAACCAGTTAAGTAACAAGTGTTGGTTGGGGCTTTCTTAATCTGCTCAGTGAGTGCAGCAGAAATAATTCACCGAACATCTCACTCTCTGTCCACAAAAGATAAACAATCATGGTATCTCGCTCCATCGTGAAAAACGATGTTTCGCATTGATGGTTCACTGGCCACCGGCTACAGAATCACAGGGCGCAGCAGGAGATACAGCTTTTGATACCCCCCCCCATGAAAATCTCTGGGGAGAAGACCCAAGAATCCAATTGTTAGGCGAGGTCTTAGGGTGATTCTTAGGTACTTTTTCAGAACTGCTGAGTTACAAGAATAAATAATGTCCAGATAGTAGAAAATTACCATGTTTTAAAATGAAACTCCCAAGTTTAAAATACCAAAAATGAAAATACCAAAGTTTTATTTTTATTTTTTGAGAGGAGCATGAGTGGGGGAGCAGGGAGAGAGGGGACCAGAGGATCCCAGGTGGGCTCTGGGCTGACAGCATTTAAGCCCAACATGGGGCTCAAACTCATGAACCGTGAGATCCTGACCCGAGCTGAAGTCAGACGTTCAACCGACTGAGCCACCCAGGTGCCCCTAAGATACCAAAGCTTTATAATAAGGAGAGATATGCACCCTCAGCTACTTCAGCCAAAATGCTATCCCTTAAGTATATCCTTGTTGAGACTACATGCGCGCGCGCACACACACACACACACACACACACACACACACGTATATATTTTTTTGCTTTTAAGGAGATACTGCAAAGACCTATGTTAGCTTCAAATTGCCTTGGCATTTCTCCATTCTCAGTGTTCTGTTCTCTTGAGATGTGTGTAGACTATCTGGCATCATAACATTTTAGGAATCACTTAATGATTTTGCCCGGGGCGCCTGGATGGCTCAGTCGGTTAAGCGTCCGACTTTGGCTCAGGTCATGATCTCATAGTTTGTGAGTTCGAGCCCCGCATCGGGCTCTGTGCTGACAGCTTGGAGCCTGGACCCTGCTTCGGATTCTGCGTCTCCCTCTCTCTCTGCCCCTTCTTCCGCTCATGCTCTATCTCTCTCTCTCTCAAAAATAAATAGAATATTAAAAAAAACTTTAAAAAAGTAATGATTTCACCCAACCCTCCTAGGATTCATGAAGAAAAGTGTGAACCAAGTACAGTGGGAGTAAGGGAGGAAGAGCCAGGGCACTGGAAGGACAGGCCGGTGCGGACTTGGACCGTGGTCAGCTCAGGGGCATGCAGCTTGCGCTTCCTCGACTGTGCAATGGGCTGGATACTACCCCTCGGCAGGCTTCCAGAAGACGAAGCTAAGCTGCATTTAGCATAGCCTCTCAATCCAGGAAGTGAAGAGGAACAAGGCCTGGAGAGGCTGGGGCCACAAACCACAGATACTCCGGTAAGAGAAGTCGAGGGCAAAATAAAACAAAGTAAGGGAGAGAGGAGGTGCAGAAGAAGGGACACTAAGCGCAGCCTGACGGGGACAGCGCCAAGACGCCAGGACAGAAAGAGTCCCGCAGCCTTGGCATTTTCCCAGGGTCCCCGGCAGTGGCGTAAGCCAGGCAGCCTCCCACCCCCACGCCACAGGTGACCTTATTTTGCTAAAAACAAAAGCATTTCTTGGTTTTTTTTACTGGCTTTGCTGGCAGTTCCTTCCCTCCAAAGGAGTAAGACTCCAGAGGACTCTTGAGATCCCCGTGTGAGGAAATGGTAGGTTTTACTATGACTTGGTTCCATCAGGATCAAGGAGGACAGCGAGGAACGCAGTCTTGGAAAATGTGATCTCCCAAATTTCAGGAACCCAGAAGCCCCACATTTATAGA